TCATGAGGGAAAGACATGGGTGCTATTATCCTCTGGTGGATTCGGATGGGATAACTATCAAATGGAGGTTGCTACTATTTTATATATTTAATCTCTCTCTCTCTCTCTCTCTCTCTCTCTCTCTCTCTCTCTGCAAATATAAATAACTTAATTAATACCCTAAAGGCCGACGTATACCACGCCTACCAAGTGGTGCGTAAACACGGAATACCCGACGAAAACATAGTTGTCATGCATTACGACGACATCGCATATCATAAACAAAACCCGACCCCCGGTGTAGTCATCAACCGAGTGAACGGCACTGATGTCTACAAAACCCCGAACGAAGTGCCCAAACACTACACGGGGGATGAGGTGACACCCGAGGTAAACCATATTTATTTATAAGTTACTTTAATAAAGTGATAAATATTTATAAGCAAAAATAAAACTTATCTATATATATTATTTACAGAACTTTTTAGGCGCACTAAAGGGCGATGTTGAGTTAGAGAAACAGGGTAAAAAGGTGATAAAAAGTGGTCCTAATGATCGTATTTTTGTGTACCTTGAAGATCATGGCGCCGAAGGTATAAAAATATTTTTAAATCTATTTATTTAATAAATAATAATTGAACTTGTATACATAAATAGAAGTAGTACTATTCCCCCATGATGTATTACATTCACTTGAATTAAATGCTGTGCTCAAGAAAATGCACATGGATAATAAATTTAGCCAGCTTGTATTTTATTTGAATGCCTGCGAAGCAGGTATATATATTGTGTAAAATACAGTTGAACATTAAAGTTATATATTAAAATTACCAACATGTCAAAATAGGATCCATGTTTGAAAAACTTTTACCTGGTGATATCAATGTCTACGCTGTAACTGCTACTAAGCCTGGTGAAACTGGCTGGTATGCTGAGAAAGAGTGGGGCACGTATAAGACTTGGCTAGGTAAGTTTAATAAATCTGGATCATACTATTTATTTTTAAACATCTAATTAGTAACACCTACAATTTTTAAAAATATTTTCATTATACAAGCAACTTATTTTACAATTGTATGGCTCGATGACTGTGAAATAAGTGATTTGACCAAGGAACTGCTTTCCACTCAATATGAATATATTAAGGAGCATAATAATTTAACCATGGAGGGCGAACTTGTATTTCAGCATGCTCAGCAATATGGGGATTTAAGTATCGCTGCTAAACAACACGTATCTGATTACCTAGGTATATGAGTATTAAAAATACACATATATAAGTAAGATTTAAATATAATATTTATGGACTAGGTGATAAAACGGTAACGAATAATACTAATTCAGACGAATATGTACCTAGGGGATTTGCCCCCATAAGGGATTCTGCATTGTATCGCCTTAAACATTTAATTAACAGCACAGATGATGCTGAACAAATTTCTCGGTAAGTGACCTACTTAGTGCTTAGGTTTAATTGTACTCGTTAAAAAATTATTTTAATCAATAGATATGTCACAGAATTGGAGGGTTTGTTAAGCCGTCGGAAACTAATGGATAAACAGATCGAGGAATACGTGAATGAATTGCCGGCAATTGACGCCAATATCGCATTGAATGGCAAACTAGAGCTCAATAACAGAGACTGCTATCAAAAACTAGTCGACACTTTTAATCAGAAGTGCTATACGCTCAGCCAGGTATGTCATTAACTAAATAAACTTTAATTAAATGATTTTATATTTAATTTTCAAGAATACATATGCTTTGAATAAATTGAAAATATTTGTGAATATTTGCGAACAAATGCGTGACTCGAGTGATGCGGACATTGCTGTCAACCGATTGATACAACACTGCAATAGAAATGCGAAACCAATTGAAAGGATTGTTTGAAAATGAAAACAATAATATATAAATAATTTCTTTACTGCAAATTTTAAAATAAAATAAAATATTAATAATAATGTTGTTAAAATTAAATTTAAAAATTAATATTAAAATACTAATCACTTCAAAGTAAAACTGTGAAATACAATTTGTAAATAAAGTTTTTTCATAAATATTAAAAATATATTTAAGACGGCACTAGGAGGGGGAGGTGTATGATAATTTTATTTGTAAGGTCAAATAAATTGTTTATCAAATTATGCTTGTCTATTTATTGAATAACCAATAAGGGAAGCATTGATAAGTTATGAACTATATTTTAAGTATATACATAATTTGTACATCTACTATTTATAAGCTAAAGTTACATATTTAAATAGTATTACAAAATTAGAGGGTAAAAAATATTTCATATAAAATACTAAATATTTTGATATTGTTTATACCTTATAATTTATAACTTTAAATTAATGTTTCATAATTGCAAAGTATACTGGTAAGTATATACAATTAGTTAATCTATAAAGTTATCAATTTAACAATTGTTCTCATGTACCAATAAAGTATTAATCAATATATTAGGTACGAGTTATTTTACTAGTACAAATGAACTTATTACATTTTTCAGATATTTTTTTTTGAAATTAAACTATATATAATAAAAGATCAGACAAATTATTTTTAATGCAAACATTTGAAGGGTATTTAATAAGAAGTGAAATTGACATTGTTTAAATATTAATTAATAGTTACCGTTTACAATAAATATTACACCATGAAATATTTATGTGAGTATTTAAATATGATATCTAACGTAGCACATTTAATTTATTAATTTACTTTAATTATAGCAATAACGTTTAAAAATAAATATATTAAAATTTTTATATAATTATTTTATTACATAGATATTAAAGTAATCGCGACAATATATATATATTACTAATTGAACAAGCATTATTATGTCCACCACCTACTTCTGTAACACCATGTAGATGCAATGATTTTGATGATATAACTACTCTAAGTTGTAACAATATAGACACCGCCGATATAAAAGGGTTATTTCAAAATATGAGCAAGGCAATGGATGATAAGCAAAAATATTTTGACGTACTTGATTTTGAATTTGCAAAAATCAGCGAGTTACCCGGGCAATCGTTTGCGGATTTAAAATTTAAAAAAGTTTATATCAGCAACCTTGCGCAATTAAAACATATAGACGAACACGCGTTTAACGGTACTTTAAATTCGGTCACAGAGTTATGGATTATGGAGCTAAACCTCACCGACAATAGCGATATATTTAACCTGGTACATAATTTAGAAAATCTACAAAGGTTGTTTATATTCAGTTGCTCGTTAACCGTTCTAGATGAAAGTACATTCAAAGTGCATAAAAGTTTAAACACGTTAAAAATTGATCACGAAAATAGTATCAAAATTTCTGGGAATGCCTTTAAATCGTTGGGAAGTACTCTAAGAAGTCTGGAAATATCGTTGACTAATATCACGGCTATCGCTGACAATGCCTTCGCGTTTGACGACAGTTTGAAAACTAACTTAAAGTTAGTTTTGGATAAAGATTTCATTGATATGCGTGGTGTAAGTAAGGGTGCGTTTGGTGGTGGTAAGCGACCTGTCTCACTGGAAGTGATCAATGATAAGTCGCTGGTATATTTGGATGAATCCATTTTCGGGACTTTTATGAAACAAAACCCATTGAATGAAATCCTGACTAAAATTAATTGCAATGACTGTCGGAATGTTTGGCTTAAGAAACCGGAGTTCGCGACACAAGTGAACGGAATATTCTGTACGAATGGACTCGAGTTGAATGACCCGAAAAATTTTGCAGGATGTTAATGTTATTAAATAAAAATTAATATTAAATTTTATTTTGAAAATGTTAAAACTTTGATTTATCGATTTATTGAAAATTTATCGAATTATTCAACAATTTATAAAATATTAAATTTTTATGTGCATATAATATATAATACTGTACATATAGCATTTATAATTAATTAATTATATAATGGTTATACCAAAGTAATTATATTTACTATTGTACTTATTTAAAATAAATAAATAAATATTTAATAAAAACATAATACATTATTAAAAATTTATAGATTAAATATTTAATAAGCTACAAATTTTTTAATTTATTTTAATTTATATGAAAATTTGTGGACCAAGATGAAATAGCGTATAAACCGGATAGCAATCTAATGACATAATGAATAATAATTTATAATATCATTCAATAATCCTATAAATAGTACAAATAATACAAACATCTCAGGGACAAATAGGACACTGACTTAAATTGCATACTTGTCATACGTGCCATACAAAAGTTAGCGACTAGTTATATTATATTACCGGTATTATTAATTTTACCAAACTATTTTAAATAGTTTATATTTGAATAAATTAATTATTCACTGATTATATGTAATGTAATAACGTATAAATAACTCTATATCTATCTATTTAGAGAAAAAGCTATTTATATGTGATTATAATTATATTTAATAAATTATTAATTTATTTGACTATAAACTATTTAAAATTGTTTGTAAAATATTAATAATAAATATATAACTTGCTCTCTCACTTTTGAATGACAAGTATGGTATTTAAGTTAGTGTTAGCATACTGGTATATCACAATTTATTAAATAACAAATATATGTCTAAAAATATTTATATTTTAATGCGACATACCTGAAAAAATACCGGGAATGTCAAGGTAATGGTGGGCCCCAGGGTTACCCCAATTTTCCGACTACTACTCAATCTCTCGAAATACGTCATTAGTTTGAGTTTGAATCGCATGCGAAACGGGTAGCCATTGATACGCCACTGGAGTCGTGATAGTCCTACGCAAGGCTTATGTATTTGTTTGGAAAGATAGGCGTAAATAAATAATATAACAAAACCTAGCAAGGTGAATAAAATTATTGTAATCTTATAAAATAATTCAAGTTTTAGTTGAATGTTTTCAAACATGAATTGATGTAACATTATTAAATTAGCGGGAATTACGACGATTACGTGTGCCATAAAGAATTGCGATAAAAACTTATTATGCATGGTCAATTCAGTGCAAAAGTAATCGTGCTGGGTCATGAAATTGTCTGCCGATTTATATAAGGCGTATGTTATAAATAAATTGTTTTTATTATCAGGGTTCCACTTGTTGATCGTTTTTATTAGCCTGATAGAATACACAATTATAAATATGACAAATAAAACTGCCATTGTTATATCAATTGTGATCATAAAATAAGTAACAAGCTGAATAGTTTGCGGTAATAATGATTTTAAATATATTTTCCATGGATAGTATTTTATGTTAATATAAATTAATTGCAATGTTGACATTGATACTTAAAATATAGATTAAAAATTTTAATATATTAAATAAATAAATAATTTTGTAAACGGAACTATATTTAGATTATTATAAAAGTAATTGTTTATACTATTATGAGATTAATAAATACAAAAATTTTTATACCTTAATAATTGTGTTTGTCTGGCATATTAATTTAAAATACTTATATAAATCAACAAGGTTTAATATAGTTTTGTATTATTAGGTCTCATATAACATTATAATTAGTTATATATGATATGTCTAGTTAACTAGTTATAAACTAGTTAATATAATATAATAGTTTATCATTTTTTATATTTTTAAAATTTATAATATAATAATTCAAATATACTTTCCGTTTTGTTAAATCAGATTTATATACCAGTTGTCATTAAAGCAAGATTAAATGCAAATAATAAATAACGCGACATTTTCTTTATAAATAAGATATCCTGCTCAAATAAGGTGACTCGTGTTAATTGATTAGAATTTATTTTGCCCATTATAAATTCTATAATCAAACTATATTTAGACTTAATTTGTGATTGTCGTAGGTGAAAGTTATAAAATATAAACACACCATATGCCGATGCTAATATAAACATTATTGAATTATAATCGTGAATACCGCCAATGAATTCAGGTAAATCATATAATATGAGCCTGGTAGTATAGTCTGTGTTTATACAATATATTGTTTTACATGCGTGTAGTATATAACAAACCACTACTAAATAGTCATTAAATGAATTTTGTTTGTTACCACGTGATTTATCAGCAATATTATTTAAATAGTAAACAATAATTATGTTTATAATGTTGAAATAATTTGCTACTTTTTCTCTTGGTATCATTTTGTAATAAAACTTTTTTATTATTTACATTTAGTATTGTTATATTATATTTTTGGCAATATACTTTAAGTGCAATAATAACTTTATAAACTAATAAACTACATTTATGCAATACAATAATGTACACTTAAATAATATGCAATAATGTACTTTTATAATATTAAGATATTACTTTATAAATAATGAATAAATATCAAATGTATTGATCCCCAATAATGTATTTTGAATTAGGTCAAATGTTGTTGAATAATTATGCATTTATAAAAAATGATTTATTACATTACAATCACGCTATTAGATAATTTGGACTATAGCAATTGTATTCATAACTTCTATATTATTTATAAAAACTTATTTATTGTATGGGTTATATAAAAATTACCAAATAAAAATATTAATGTCACTATTTAAATAATTTTATACTATAATATTATGAAATTAATTTGTCGAACATGGAACCTGGTGAAAAATTAAAATTTGAAATAAAATAAAGTAATTACAAATAATTCATAACAAATATAATACATTATTTATTACATTATTATGTCTGGGATTGCTTCCATCAGATTTATGATAAATATTAAACTAGTACATTATTTCCAATTCTTACCTGGACAATTTTCCATATCATAACTTTTAAATATTCCTATTAATTTATTTTTAAAAATTGTTTAAACATCATATTAGACGATATACCCGGCCACCCTGGGCAAAAACCATTCCGTTTG